AATTTGGGGAATTATTTATCATGCTGTTTTATAATTGCAAAGCAACTATCCATGACACTCTTATCGCGGGAGCTGTCTTTAATGCCTCTTCTCCCCAAGGCAAATGGCGCAGAAAAACGAGTTAGTGCTTTCTTTGATGTTCCTCATTCCCTTGATCACTCAGTCCTTCACAACAGTAAGAGAGTTCAAATGTTTTAACAGTAACTCTAAACACGTTAGATCCGACATCGCACAACTAGCAAACCTTTTGCCCTGCAGCCTTCCGTTTTGTGGCCCTTTGGGGTGCCGTTCTGCCCTTCTTCTGACGCCCTTTCGGTGCTGCTTGAGGTGTAGGACTAGCAGAACCTCGAGAAGTGTCCTGTAAGAAAGGCATAACAATATCAAAAACAGTAAAATAACGGGAAAAAGAATGAGCAGAGCGGACAAAAAATGCACGGTAAAAGTCTTACATCAGGTGTCAACAGTTTCGACGAGAGCGTTGGTGTATTCGATCGGGAAGCTTCTCGTGATGAACCTATCAGCGCTTTTGTCTGACTTCTTGTGACTTTTACCGATGGGTCCGTAGTTGTGAGGAACTAAATATGAGATTCACTGCACCATACATTAAAACTGCTGCAAAACGTGTATCCGAATTAGGAGGGAATCGGTCATTAAAGAGAGTACTGCTAGTTTAATCTGGTGACAAAAGGCACCAGAAATCATATATTTTCATGTATTTCATTCATATATTTCATATCATAATCATATATTTTTTTCAAGTTTTGTAAAGGCAATGCAGAATTTGGCGCAGTCGGTTCGAAACGGGGCGGGGGGGTTGCACTTTCTTCCTCCCGTTATCGTGTTCTTTGAAATTTTGACAGGTATCATTTCACGGTTTTATAAGCTTTCACGGCGGAGGTGGTGTAGTGACAAGTGGCGCGCTTACCACTCGCGCGGCGCCGGGTTCAAATCCCGGGTCGACTCCCGCCCAGGCCAACCAAGCCTTCTATCCTCCGGGGACGGTAAATTGGTACCAGATTCGTCTGGGAGGATAAAACACTGACTTGTACATCGGCTGGTCCTGCACGTCAAGTCTATATTGTGATAGGCCAACATCGCATTCAATATAGCCACTAAGACTTCTGAATGGAAGTAGAGATGCCGTCCCACACAAAGGGGGATTCAACGTTCGAAGCGCTTTTATCTTTTATGCGATTTCAAGAAATACTCTTAGACTTGAACATGGGCTCAACGGAAGCAGCAAAATGCAAAACGCCCCTCCATCGTCGAACCGCGTTTAGAATTTTGTCATGATGAGATTTTTCGACCCGCTGCCTGCTCACAATGCCCGGTATTCGAATGCTTTTTTATTACTATAACCTAAGCTTCAAAGATTACAAAACACTTACTAGTTCAGTTGCTGTATTTTTATGGGTGGGATCAAAAAGTTTCTTCAGTTCACTGGGTGCATCCGCCAGTTCCGCTGCTGGTTTTCCATAGAAAACATCATCAGCCTGAAGTTCTCGCGGCTTCAAACCGCTACTTTCCTAGAGAAAAACACAATAGAACGTCACAACATAGAACTATTACTATTATTTGGAAATGTTATTAGATTACTGATCACCTCTCTGGTGACTATCTCTGAGACGTATTCCCATCGAGGACCACGTTTTGTACGCCGGGCGGCTTTTCGCGCTTCTGAATGATCTTCATCAACTTCTATAAAATACAGCAGACTATGCAATAATATTCACAATGACCACAGAAAGAAATAACAGCTATAACCTCAAGATTTCTTAAAAAGAAACATTATTATAATTGTAACTTCGTCTACGGAGCCCATTCAGAGCCGTGATCACAAAGGTGACACTTATCTTCGTCGCTGGTGCCAGATGAGATTACTAGGATTCTTCAACCGGACAACCTTCTCTTGCTGCGAGAATGCAGGGGTATTTTCTCATCGTATCTGCTGGGCGGGCATTTGAAGGAAAGGATGTAATAAGAGGGAAGAGGGAAGGAAGGAAGGAAGGAAAGGAGTAGGGAGAATTCGCGGTTGACAGATATCCTGAGTTGGCCATTTGGCGCCACTACCTTTTTTACCAGCGCTCATAAAAACATGCATTAAAAGGTTGTTTGATGACCTATAAAGAGCTAGATCTATACGGCGCTTCGCCCATAGAGGTTATAATGAAAGTGCCAACGGACTTTCTGCCACAGTATCCCTTCTATTCACCAGGATTCAAGGTTATAAGACAAAGAATGAGAATCGATGGGGAATAAGCCCACAGAGAAGGCATAAACGCTACTAGGTCTAAGGATTGGATTGGGGAAGGGATATTGAAGCGCTCTTGTATGTTCCCCTCTTCTCTAAAGATTACGAGCGCCTAGAACGCTGAAATAACGGAGAGAACAAAGAAATCGGTGATAGGGAATAAGATAGAAGAGCTGCAGAACAGGATTTCTTTTTCGTCTTTTCTCAAATGACCATATAATGGTTCTTTCGAGGCCTCTCCGCCTCAAGCGAACCACTATTATTATTGTCATAATCACTACATTATTAACTGTGAGGCTGAGCCATTAGGAAGAACGGATCTCTGTCTCGGCGAGAGGGCGCAGACAGATAGATACCCCTCCCTCCAGTACAAACTCGTTTTCAGTCACAAATATGATGGGAAAAACAGGATAAAAAACGATAGGTGAAGGAAGTAGTTCAAAAACTTACTGTCAGCTTTGAGCAACTGTTCCACTTTATCCTTATGTGCTTCTCGAAAATCTCTCAACAACGCTTTGCTTTCGGAACCTGAACATCCTTGGATATTGGTAGTCGCTTAGAATAGGGGCCAAAATCTCGAGACAGAAATACAACTAAGTTCGGTAGTCAAGTAACGAATCTATAGAAAATACGTACTCTTCTTACCGGTAAAACTCTCTTCAGGTTCCCATGTGTCTTCGCTGGGCTTGCAACCAACCCATCGGACACGATATTTGAAAACACCGTTCTGCAGTTTTATGTCTTCAATGCTCTCCACCTAAAAAAGAAAACCAGTGGTTTTCTTGAGAATCCAGCAGTAAGAACCTCATATCCCACATTCCAAGACCCAGTTCATATGAGGCAGCGTTCAGACTTCGCGATGATGCGCTGTAATGCGCAACGATACTACATTTATAACAGCGCTTCAAAGCAATACCAATGCGAGCCGCAGACGCCCAGTACCGATCGATACAAGTCTGCATGACTGAGCAACTTCTACCATCCATCCCACCCAAGTGAAAAATTGGCCGTTCCCCAGATTCTCACAAGGCCGCGATTCAGCGTTGAGCGTTAAGAGAGACATACACCCAAGCCACACATAACGCTGCGCCTAGATATTTGGAAGTCGGACGCAGGCGGGGTCTGAAACGCTGGTTAAAAGATCACCTTACCTACAGGTATTGACAACTATGCGATATGCTACCTGACAAAATAGCGGCAGGTAAATATGCCTAGTGTACCCCAAAGCCATTTTCAATCAAGGTCTACTGTTGTGCAAGTAAGGCAGCGCTCATACTATGCGGATTTTTGAGCGAAAGGATTAACATAAGTACCGATTAACTCGCATTTTGGGGGAACAGCTCCTTGGGAGAATCAGAGTTTTGAGAGAATCCGCGTTTTGAGCGAACCGGCGTCTCGGACTCCGATCGATATATATGCTTTCCTTTGCGCTCAAGACACTGATTCTCTCAGAATACCGAGTCGCGAAGTATGAACGCAGACTAAAGCGTAAATTAGCGCTCACCTCATCACCTTCTGATTCATCTCCCTCTTCGTCGTCCATTTCATCATCTTCATCTTCCAGGCCAGCATCACCCAAATGGACACTGCCTTCAAATGCAGAAGCTGCAGGCTAAAACAAGATTTTGTAAATTTTTTTTGTTATACCTACCTTTTGCTCTCACTTCTTCTCAAAAACTCTCCCTCACCCGAACGTAAGGATTACCTAGGTATATGTAACAACAAAGCAAAGTAGTGATTTGCCCCCTATCAGGACAAGTACCCCAGGCAGACGTTGACCCTAGGAAAAGTGCTCAGGCTTTAAAAAGTATAAAATCTATTCTGGAGGACTGTTTTCTTCCCCGCTTCACAATACAATACACTATCATTAAAAAGAAATATTTTGAACATGAATTTGTAAAAAGGAACCCAGAGTCCTCACTTTCTCTTCGACCTCACTAGTGGCAGCTTCATCAGTCTCCATTTTCTCCTCCTTCACTGCTGCCATGTTTTGGACTATTTCTCAGTTAATGTACTGAGATCTCTTCAAAGGAAGCAGCTGAAATGTTTGGTGTCTGTTTTTAAACTGGACTGTTCACAGGACTATGATTCACAATGGCATGAAAAAGAGTTTAAGAAAACGACATAAAATGAAAACTGCAAATAATTTAAGTCTCACAGAATGAGCCAAAA